TTTTTAAGTTGCTGGGAATTTTCTTCCATATAAAAGAAACTGTCGAGCAACAAAAAAAATTGTCAAACATTGTAGCCATTTGAAACTTGGACTTTATTTACTAAAATTATATGGGCTACAAAACTGTATACCCGATAGTTTTCTAAAAATATTATTAGCTTATTCACTGTTAGTCATTGCGATTGCACACCGCTTTGTTGACTTTTTTTAATTTGTACAAAATTTTAATGTCGGATTTCAGTGGCTTTTGTTACACAATATGCTATAGTTTTATAAAAAATTAATGAATACTAAATAAACAAAAGAAAAACCGTAAATACTAAGGATAAAAAGGGTGCGCTTTCAAATCACAAGGAGTGTATTATGAGTAATTACTTACCATACTATTTCGCCATTCTCTAAGCCCCGCATTGAACTTAAACATTTCGCCAAAGAAATTCGTATCAAATTTATTGAAAAGCGTTAATACATCTTCAATTTCCATTTTTTTTCAAAATTAGGAATGCACTGATTCCATGAGTTTTTAAAAGAGTACACACACATTTTAAATAATGGCTTCGTTTCAATACACGGTTCTCCCATATTTGTTGTCTGATCCATTATTTAATTGTTTTAAATAATTAGCAGCGATATAATAACCGAAATTAATAGTAATAAATATAGTATATAAAATAGATCATCAAATTATTACTAGCACTTTTATCTGCACTCACTCCTTGCTGAACTAAAACTAAAAAACAAGAAGCATTTTGTAATTTCTTAATCGAATAGAAATAAGAAAAAATACAAAGTACCGTTGTTATTGGCGTCGAAAATATTTCACTTACATACATGGGTTGTATGCATTCATGAAGAATGCTTGCTATATGAGTGAATTAATGTGAACAATTCATGCGTAGTCATGAATTTCCACAAATAAATTTAAATTCTAGCAAGCTGCAAGCGAACGTACGTTTTTGTTGTTTCAAGTACGTTTCTTGATAAATTTGAAGTCGAATTTTTGTAATATTTTCAATATTGTACAAAAATTTTAGTGAACGGACGTGTTGTGCGATACTATTTTCAGCACTAACGGGCTTTTACAAGATATACATTTGCATATGAAAATGCTAGTTTTTTNAAAATTAGGAATGCACTGATTCCATGAGTTTTTAAAAGAGTACACACACATTTTAAATAATGGCTTCGTTTCAATACACGGTTCTCCCATATTTGTTGTCTGATCCATTATTTAATTGTTTTAAATAATTAGCAGCGATATAATAACCGAAATTAATAGTAATAAATATAGTATATAAAATAGATCATCAAATTATTACTAGCACTTTTATCTGCACTCACTCCTTGCTGAACTAAAACTAAAAAACAAGAAGCATTTTGTAATTTCTTAATCGAATAGAAATAAGAAAAAATACAAAGTACCGTTGTTATTGGCGTCGAAAATATTTCACTTACATACATGGGTTGTATGCATTCATGAAGAATGCTTGCTATATGAGTGAATTAATGTGAACAATTCATGCGTAGTCATGAATTTCCACAAATAAATTTAAATTCTAGCAAGCTGCAAGCGAACGTACGTTTTTGTTGTTTCAAGTACGTTTCTTGATAAATTTGAAGTCGAATTTTTGAAATATTTTCAATANGAATTAATGTGAACAATTCATGCGTAGTCATGAATTTCCACAAATAAATTTAAATTCTAGCAAGCTGCAAGCGAACGTACGTTTTTGTTGTTTCAAGTACGTTTCTTGATAAATTTGAAGTCGAATTTTTGTAATATTTTCAATATTGTACAAAAATTTTAGTGAACGGACGTGTTGTGCGATACTATTTTCAGCACTAACGGGCTTTTACAAGATATACATTTGCATATGAAAATGCTAGTTTTTTTATGTCCCCGTATATTAAAATGTATCAGAAAAGTATCATTTACATATGGGGATACATATCTTGTAAGAATGCTTTAATACTGTTCCATTAATGCATTTTTGTATGTTTGAAATATTAATACAGCCATATGCATACAGTAGTAGTACGAGTGTATGGTTAGAGTACGCATACGCTCTGAGAAACCACGCGTGTTAAATGCAAATGAAGGTTTATTTATACTGGCATGTATACACAGCAGCAAGCTCATGCCACCAACAGCGATGCCGTATGCATCAAATTTGTACTGGGCATGTACATACATAAACATACATATGTATGTATGTGATGCAAATAGGGAGAAAAAAGTAAGGGAGTGTCTATTCGCACTTTGCCAGTGTCACCAGTGTACCAGTGCCCCCAGTAACGCCAGTGTCACCAGTGTCACCAGTGTACCAGTGTCGGGAGTCTTCGGCTCTGACAGTGTACCAGTGTCGCCAGTGTCACCAGTGTACCAGTGTCGCAAGTGTCGCCAGTTTCACCAGTGCCACCAGTGTCACCAATGCCACCAGTGTCGCCAGAGTCACCAGTGTACCAGTGTCGCCAGTCTCACCAGTGTACCAGTGTCGCCAGTGTACCAGTGTCGACAGTGTCGCCAGCGTCACCAGTGTCAACAGTGTCGCCAGTGTCACCTGTGTCACCTGTGTCACCAGTGTCTCCAGTGTCACCAGCTTCACCAGTGTCGCCAGTGTACCAGTGTCGCCAGTTTCACCAGTATACCAGTGTCGCCAGTGTCGCCAGTGTACCAGTGTCACCAGTGTCACCTGTGTCTCCAGTGTCACCAGTGCCACCAGTTTCACCAGTGTCGCCAGTGTCACCAGTGTCGCCAGTGTCACCAGTGTCAACAGTGTCGCCAGTGTCACCAGTGTCTCCAGTGTCACCAGTTTCAACAGTGTCATCAGTTTCACCAGTGTCGCCAGTGAAACCAGTGTACCAGTGTCGCCAGTGCCACCAGTGCCACCTGTGTCACCAGTGTAACACTGTCGCCAGTGTCACCAGTGTCGCCAGTGTCACCAGTATTCCAGTGTCGGAAGTCTTCAGCTCTGCCAGTGTCACCAGTGTACCAGTGTACACTGGCCAGTGTCACCAGTTTACCAGTGTCACCTGTTTCACCAGTTTCATCAGTGTACCAGTGTCGCCTGTGTCACCAGTGCCACTAGTGTACCAGTATCGCCAGTCTCACCAGTATACCAGTGTCGCTGGTGTCACCAGTATCGCCAGTGTCACCAGTTTACCAGTGTCACAAGTGTACCAGTATCGCCAGTGTCACCATTGTCGCTAGTGTCACCAGTTTCACCAGTGTCACCAGTGTCACCAGTGTACCAGGTACACCAGTGTCGCCAGTGTACCAGTGTCACCAGTTTCTCCAGTGTCACCAGTTTCACCAGTGTCGCCAGTGTTACCAGTGTCGCCAGTGTCACCAGTTTACCAGTGTCACAAGTGTACCAGTATCGCCAGTGTCACCATTGTCGCTAGTGTCACCAGTTTCACCAGTGTCACCAGTGTACCAGTGTCGCCAGTGTACCAGTGTCACCAGTTTCTCCAGTGTCACCAGTTTCACCAGTGTCGCCAGTGTTACCAGTGTCGCCAGTGTCACCAGTGCCACCAGGGCAGCCTGTGTCACCAGTGTAACAGTGTCGCCAGTGTCACTAGTGTAACAGTGTCGCCAGTGTCACCAGTGTACCAGTGTCGCCAGTGTCACCAGTTTCACCAGTGTCGCCAGTGTCGCCAGTGTCCCAGTGTCACCAGTTTCACCAGTGTCGCCAGTGTCGCCAGTGTCCCAGTGTCACCAGTTTCACCAGTGTCGCCAGTGTCGCCAGTGTCCCAGTGTCACCAGTTTCACCAGTGTCGCCAGTGTCGCCAGTGTCCCAGTGTCACCAGTTTCACCAGTGTCGCCAGTGTCGCCAGTGTCCCAGTGTCACCAGTTTCACCAGTGTCGCCAGTGTACCAGTGTCACCAGTTTCACCAGTGTCGCCAGTGTCGCCAGTGTCCCAGTGTCGCCAGTGTCACCAGTGTACCAGTGTCGCCAGTGTCACCAGTGTAACAGTGTCACAAGTGTCGCCAGTGTCGCCAGTTTCACCAGTTTACCAGTGTCACCTGTTTCACCAGGTCCACCAGTTTCACCAGTGTCGCCAGTGTACCAGTGTCACCAGTTTCACCAGTGTCGCCAGTGTACCAGTGTCACCAGTTTCACCAGTGTCGCCAGTGTACCAGTGTCACCAGTTTCACCAGTGTCGCCAGTGTCCCAGTGTCGCCAGTGTCACCAGTGTAACAGTGTCGCCAGTGTCACCAGTGTAACAGTGTCACAAGTGTCGCCAGTGTCGCCAGTTTCACCAGTTTACCAGTGTCACCTGTTTCACCAGGTCCACCAGTTTCACCAGTGTCGCCAGTGTCGCCATTGTCACCAGTTTCACCAGTGTCGCCAGTGTACCAGTGTCACCAGTTTCACCAGTGTCGCCAGTGTCACCAGTGTCACCAGTTTCACCAGTGTCGCCAGTGTCACCAGTGTACCAGTGTCGCCAGTGTACCAGTGTCGCCAGTGTTGGCATATTGTTTTATATAGAAAAGCGCCGCAGACGAAATCGGCCAATTTTTTAATCCTTTTTACTATACATATCGAGCCATAACCGCCAAAATAACGTAAGCGACATTTTTTTCAAAATTTCCTTTTTGATGCAGAAATATATCTAGATGCTCTAGTAATATTTCTGCATCAGAAACAAAATTTTTAAACAAATGTCGCTTACGTTATTTTGGCGGTTAGGGCTCGATGTATTGAATATTTTTTATAGAAAATGCGCCGTAGGCACTGGTGACACTGGCGGCACTGGTGACACTGGTGACACCAGCGACACTGGTGAAGGTTAGGTTAGGTTAGAATGGTGGCGGAAAACTATTACGCCCAAATAGCAGCTAAGTGCCCTTATGATACCATATACCTCGAATGAGTATATTAGAACCAGCCTGCGTGGCTGATGAAGTTGAGTATGTTGTGCAGACTTACATCAGATAGCTCTCGTAACGATGTGAATACATATGCTCCCAGCATGGTATTTCTGCTACTCATTAGAGCTGGACATTTACAAAGCTCTACTATTTCCTGCTCGTTCTCATCTCTGCAGCTTCTACAGAAGTCGTTGTAGGCGATTCCCAGCCTTTTCGCGTGGGTACCAATCGGCCAATGTCCAGTAAGAGTCGCAACAAGCCTAGTAACGTCAGATCTGGGTTTCCTTAGTAGGTTTTGTGTTCTCTCAGGGCTGTACGCAGGCCACAATAGTTTGGATATTCGGCAGCCTGCCACGGTGGGCCCTCTTTGGTCCGATTTCCGGAGATTGTGGAGAAATATGTCTTTATATAAGGTTGCAATTCGGGATGAGATCCGGTCCTCGATCGACACCAATGGCTAACTCGTCTGCAGCCTCATTTCCGTGAATGTTGCTATGACCAGGGACCCAAACTAAATCTAGATCGAGTTGACGACTTACTGTATTTAACAGTGTCCTACAGTCCTTGATTAGTTTCCACCTTGTTGTAAAAGACGCTAAGGCCTTAATGACGTGACGTAATCCTCTACGTTCTAAGAGATGGCAGCCTTCGGCTATAGCGAATTCTTCTGCTTGGAAGACACNGACGACTTACTGTATTTAACAGTGTCCTACACTCCTTGATTAGTTTCGACCTTGTTGTAAAAGACGCTAAGGCCTTAATGACGTGACGTAATCCTCTACGTTCTAAGAGATGGCAGCCTTCGGCTATAGCGAATTCTTCTGCTTGGAAGACACTCTCGAAATCGGGCAGATGAATTGATGCTTTTACTCCCAGTGACTCAGAGTTAATACCTGCTGCAACTCCACGTTCCATTTTGGAGCCATCCATGTACATATGATGTGTCCAGATAGAGATATCAAGTTCCCCATCCCAGTCGGCTCTCGACGGAAGAATGGCCCCGAAAGGCCTGTGAAACTCTACCTCAGGTCGAATGTAATCGGTTGCCAGCCTCAACTTAGGTGGCAAACGGGAAATTATACTGCTATGCCCGATCGTTCTTTCTTTCCATATACCTANATGTAATCGGTTGCCAGCCTCAACTTAGGTGGCAAACGGGAAATTATACTGCTATACCCGATCGTTCTTTCTTTCCATATACCTAGTTCTCTAAGTCTTATAGCCGATAGTGATGCGGTATGCTGTATGTGAAGGTCTATAGGAAATAGGTTTGTAATAACATTTAGGTCATC